AAGTTTCCCCTAAAATCTGGCGAATTAGAGTTTAAAATAGTATATATTCAGGGTGAGTCTCTTCTGGGAGAGCAGCAGCACCATGTCCCCAAGGCACCCTCAGGAGCAACGCTGGCACCTGCCAGCCGAGTAGGAGCAGGCAGGCGAGGAAGGTGGGGATGGGGACAGGCTCAGACCCATCGAGAGTGGCCGTGGAAATGGGATGTGCAAGCTTAGCTCCATGGGTGTCTGCCCACGGGGTGGCCTGAGACCAGTGACCTCCCCTATGACGGGTATTTATGGAGCTGGACAGGATCCCTGGAGCCCTTGCGTCCATGCCGCAGTGCCTGCAGCACACCAGGGCTGTACATCGTGGTCAGACCCTTCTCCCAGCTGCATCCCTGCTCTAGGACTGAGAGCTGGGAACCTCCAGGAAGGAGCCACTGATGGGACATTACTGGCAGGCTTTGTGGTTGGTGGGAATGGCAGCCAAGGTGGCCTCCTGCTCGGGGTTGCTGGTCATGGAGCTGTGCGTAGGCATCAGGAGTTGTTTTTTGGCAGCTGTGAGCGCCAGCTCTGCATTGCCCACGGGCTCGGCCCTGGGGGAGGCAGGAAGAGGGTGTCAAGCTCACATTTAAACACAACATGTTCCACAAGAGTGTTTGTTAACACAGACACAAACATTTTGTAGGATCTTTGCCAGGTGGATGGGCTTAATATGTGTGGAGGCTTGAAGGACATGGGAAAGCTGATGCAGCCCATCACTGTGGGCTCTGATCTTGTCTCCCCAGCACTGCTGGGGCAAGGGAAGCTTTATTCCTCTCTGGGGAGTGCATTATTTAAGTCCTTGTGTACAAACAAAGAAGCAAAGACCATTAATCCTACCAGGAGGGAAATGATATCATGATGCTGCGGGAGAAGGGGAGGGTGAGAGGAAAGAACCCAGAAACCTGACCCGGTTCCTCCTGCCCTCACCACTCCTGGCTCTGACCCCCTTCTGCCCCCCACAGCTTCAGGGTGAGTGGGAGGAAAAAGCAAAGTAATGGCCCTGGGTCCTTGGGGGATCTCAGGCTTGCAGGGACAGGATGAACAGTCTCAGTCCTGGGAGAGCTGTGGGGTCCCGGAGGGGGAGCGGGTGCAGAGTCGAGCAGGGAGGCATGGAGGAGGAGGGGGGATGCTCTGGGCTGTCTGGGGAGCCTGCAGCCTGCATTTTTTCCAGGGATATTTTCTCTATGAACCCTACAGACCTCTAGTTCTGACCCACAAGTTTTTCATGCTTTTGTCCATCTCCTCCTCTGTCCCATCCTGCTGTGGGGGGAGTGAGCGAGTGGCTGGGGGGGGGGCTTAGCCAGCCCCACACAATTCCCCAGAGTCTGCAGCTGCAACGACTTTCTCGTTGCCCAATGGTGCTCCGGTTGGCCCTGGCTAAGCTGTGCACACACACGCGCACACACACACACACACACACCCCCACACCCGGGGCTGCAGTGCCCAGCGAGAGGGGTGTGGAGGGCATCGGGAGCCCGGGCTGGGGTAACCAGGAGGGCTGAGGGCTGGAGGAGCCAGACCCTGCTCTGCGCCTGGGCTGGCAGCACCACGCTCCCACACGCGATCGCACAGTCCCCTCTAGTGGATATTTCTCCTCCTCTCTACGCTCTCCCACGGGGCCCAGGAAGCGCTGGGCTCCGGAGCTTGGCCCCCGAGCAGTGACCCCAGGGCACCATCCTGCTCCTCTCGTGAAATCGAAGCAAAGCTTCGTCTGGCCACTGCCACGGGCTGAGCCACCGCTGCCTCCGCTCCTTCCCCTCCTGCGTACTCGGGTGACTCATCCTCCTGCCGTCCCCTGCCCTGGCTTTGTCCCACAGCACCCGTCACCCTTGCGTCAGGGCTGGCCCCGGCCGGCCCCTGCAGCCCTCGCTCTCCCCCTTCGTCCGGCTTCGCACCGACTTGGAGTTATTTGGGCATCGGCCAACGTGAGAAAGAGCTAACAAACACCCACGCGGCGACAGCTTCCAAGGGCTCCAGGCACAAGCATCGCTTGCTCCCACCCTGCCGGGTCCTGCAAGTGTGATCCAGCTTGGACTGGGGTGAAGCGAGCAGCTCTGGTGAGGAATTCCCGAAGGGGGTTGGGTGCCCATACCCACACCCCACTCCTGGCAGCTGAGGGGTTTCATCTGATGCCTCCCGGGAAGGCACCTAAACCTCCTGAAACATTTCTGGTGAGTTTGGGCAATGCCCGAATTCAGCACCCAGCCGACGCCAGGGCTTGCACGTTAAGAGACGGCGTCTTTGTTTTTGACACCCTTTCCTCAGTGCTCAGCCTCTGGCCGTGGAAAGAGTGTGAAGGCTCCCACCAGCACCAGCCCAGAGCGCTCCCTGTGCTCAGGGCCAGGACCAGGTCACCACCACCTCCTTTTCCCTCATCTCCACCTCCGCCTGCCTTGGAAACTGTGCTTGTCACCTGGAAGATAAGTAGTATCTGCAACCTGAAGCTTTTCAAGGCAAAAACAGGAGAGTGTGGAGGAGCAGATGCAGCTGCACACCTGCAGGTCACCGGCAGTTCCTGATGCTCCACCAGTGCTCGCAGGGCTGGTGGGATGCAGTCCCTCCACCTTGCTCCATCTTTTACTGGGAAACATGCAGCTCTGGTCCCAGTGCCACAGCCTGGCCACCCCAGCTTGGAGCAGGGCTGGTGTCAAAGCTGCTGCCCCCATCCCTGTGCCAGGGAAAGGACAGTGTCTCCTCTGGGCAGCTCAGACCTCCAGTGCGGGGCAAAAGTGGTGAGGAAAGAGGCAGCTGGGCTCCAACCTTTGCTGTCAGGCTTTGCAGGCAGCCCCAAAAAGCAGCTGCAAGGGCAGAGAGAGTTGGGCAGTTTGTTGCCCAAACCAGCCCCAGGGCAGCTTTATGGGCCCCACAGGAGCATCTGGGGGGGATGCACACCCCGTCCAGGCTGTGCTGCCTGAGCTGGCAGCTGAACTGCCCTGTCCTCATGCTGGCCAGGAGCCCTTGTGTGTCCCAGGTCCCACAGGGCTGCACCTCCAGCTCATGGATGCAATCCTGCTCACAGCCCGCATTGTGTCCTGGCATCAAACCAATGCTCGGACCATGCATGGCAGCCCCAGGGCAAACACCCATCCTCCCTGACGTCTCACGGTGCCTGGGGCAGGTCACTGCTTCCCACGGGACACTCCTGGCCCCAGCATCAGTGGGAACAGAGTCAGACCTCAAGCTGTCCAGCTGCAGCTGAGCACGGCTCAGGCCCAGAAACACACATCTCAGGCATGAGCTGTGGCACAGACATTGTTTTAACTTGCTGTAGCATCTAGGCAGGGGCTGAGCTGTGGCAGGGTTGGAGTTGCCAGTAAAGAGGCTAATTTAACCTCCGAGTGCTTGCAACCATCTAGCCCAGCACCCTGAGCTGGAAGAGAAAAATCAACCTGCTCTTAAACTGCACATGGCAGCGAGTTAATGCTGTGCTGAATACAAGGGAAAAAAAAAAAAAAAACAAGTCCCATGCCTCGCCCCAGTGCTCATCTCCATGCTGTGCTGATCCTGGCTACTGGGCTCAGGGAAAGAAGAGCCTGGGGTGGGCCACTGTCTGGCTGGAGCATCCCTCCCCTGAGCCCAATACAGAAATGGGGATTTTCCCAGCCCTGTTGGGATGGTCCTGCCGTCCTCCCTCCCCACCTTCCATCCTGTGTGTCTGGCAGGGCTATGGCACGGCTCACAGCATGCAAGTGCCAGTCCAGCACAGGGGTCACCTGTGGCATGGCCCCACGGCGGGCAGGGAAGCCTGTGGATACCTCACATGCAGTGTGTGTGGATGTGGACCATCCCACAGCGATGAACAAGGTACAAAATCCCAGGGAGAGCCAGCCCACGACAGTTCCAGCCCCTTTTATTGCTTCTGCTCTGTGGCCCAACGGCAGACACACTTTATGGCTTTATTTATTATAAAAGATCTCCAGGAAGCTGATTGTTACCTAAACCTGGCCCTCTTTCTGCCCACAGGGACTCTGTCTAATGGGGTAATGGCACTGCTGGGGGCAGATTTCAGGCTTTTTGGAAACGGGGATTTGCCCAAGCCCACAGGTGAACACCCTCCCTGTCCCCAGGCAGAGGGCAGAGCCACAGGAGGGAAACTGCAAAACCTAAACTCTGTTTCTAGGAAGCTGGATGCCAATAAAACGCCGTGTTTATTGCAGTGCTCCTCATTGCCCCCGTTTTTTCAGATGTGCATTTAAAAATAAAAGCTCTGTGCATCTTAGCTGGCCATGGAAGGGCTTGAACATTGAAAGGGCTGATGTGTCAAGTGATGGAGAGTCACCTCCTGGCCCCGAGCTCGGCGGGTGCAAACAGGCCAGTTACCTGCTCAGGATTTCTGTGCGTTGAGTTGGAGCCTCATGCATGAGAAACTCCAGCTGTGCTTTCAAGTATATTTGGCGTGAAGCCACAAGGTCTCTCTGGTACCACATGTCCCACCAAGGAGGAAAGACCTGCTGGTCATCAGAGCGCCACATCCCTCAGATCCACCACAGACTCGGGGGAAGATGGCTGCTTTGGACAGCTGTAACGACATGCCAGCTCCAGTTTTGGCTCAAGGACAGTCTGTGAGAAGGCTCTGGAGAACTTGGGCAACTCATGTTTAAATGGTGCTGCTGGGAAAAAGACCAGCTCAAACCCCATGAGGCCACCTGGGCTGCATGAAGGAGTCAACAGCCAGTGGGGCTAAAGGGGTACGTGATGCTCAGCAGTTGTAGCAGCTGCCCATGGTGCTCACCCACTGTCCCAGCTCCCTGCCTGCAAATCCCCAGCCAAGACAGCTCTTGGCCATGGAGCTGCATCTCGGGTGGCTGCATACTGCAAACACCCTTCCCAATTATCAACCCCCTCCCCGCCCAAACCAAATCCACTATCCAGAGAAGCACACAGCGGCTTAAACAGAAAGAAAAAGAAAGAAAAAAAAAAAAAAAGATCCTTGTGCTATGTAACTCCCACCACCAAGGAACAACCACGCTGTCTTTACATGGTCACACCATCCAAGAGACAGAACAACTTTCAGAAAGACCCAAGACAACACAGGCTTTGTCCCTGGCCCTGCGGCAGCCGGGGAAGGCACAGACTCGGAAGCACCGACTTCAGTAGCCCCTCCAGGTCCCGGACATGGTGGGGGGGTGACTGCCGCTGCTGAAATAGGTTTTGTTGGCTATGTAGCTTTCAGCTCACATAGTTTTTTGCTGATGGGGTGCCCATAAGAAGAGAAGCAAGCCAAACGCATGAGCAAGCAGCGTGGGGTGCCTAACCCCAGGCAAGCCCAGGCTACCGCCCCCGCCCATGAGGCTACATGTCCCAGCGGGGAATTTTCCTCCTGCAGACAGCAAGTCCTCGGGCCAGGAGGGCAGGAGCATGTGGTGGGATGCTGGACGGCGTGGGGACAGGCGCCGCATGGCCTCTGCGGTGTCAGCAGTGACGCAGACTTGCTGGTCCTGACGCACCCAGTGCATCCCCGGGGCTCTGCCGGGGCAGCCGAGAGCTTGGGACAGCTGGGCCGTGTCTGCCTGATGGCCCTGCCGTAGGCCTGGCTCTCCCCAGCAGCTGGGATGTCTCTTCTCTGGCGCCAAACGAGTTGCTGCAGTTCAAGGCCAGAGTGGTGCAAGCTTGGGGAGGCAGGAACGAGCCGGGCAGGGGAGGAAGAGGCTGTGGGCACACAGCTACACAACAAGCATCCCTCTTGGAGCTGCCCCTTGGTCCAAACACTCCCTTTTTGGTGCCCAGCTGCAGCTTCCCAGCAGCACTGGCTGCTCCCAGAGCTCGGCAGCCCTGGCACAGTCATCTGGCAGTGGTGGCTGGCATGGACGGCTGTATACGCTGCAGCCCCTTCACACGGGCCAGGTGGCCACACACCTCGCCACAGAGGTCCCGGGATGAGGAGAGCGGGGCCAGCAGATGCTCCATCCCCAGATATCCAGAGGCAGGACAGGGGTGGAGCTGCAGGCAGCTGCAGAACAAACTAACTCTGTGATACAGTCTCATGAGCACCTCTGATGGGCTCCCCAGCCTTTAACAGCAGTGGCGCCCCAATTTCTTCCCTTGTGGTATGTGAGGACGGATGCTGCCATGACAATCCTCTACCAGCGCAACCCTCAGCCTGCCCTTTGCACACCCATGGGGCCTCTGCTGTACCCGCTTCTCAGCGGGGCTGGAGCTCCTCCACCAGCTCCACTTCTCCACACAGCAGCACCTTCCCGGGCGGCTCCGCACCAGAGGATTTAGGATGTTCTGTGGCATCAACCGTCCCAGTGCCTGACCCCGGTGGGACGCAGCACCCAGGACCTTCTGCGTGGAAGCAAGGTGCTCAGTGGACACATGCCCAGAGTTTTCCTTGAAGGCTGATGTTGTCCACTACCAGGAGGAAGATGGGGTGATTTGATCATGCAGCCTGCACGTGCAGGGGCTTCCTGGCTTTGAAATCCAGAGAGTTACCGTCCGATCGCTGGCTGGCAGGGTGAGCCATGAGCTCCTGCAGGAACTGCCCCGCTCCCAGGAAGGCTGGCACTGGCACTGCTACCTGCTCGCTGCCCTAGAGATGCTCCCAGTGAGTGGCCCACAAGCAATAAGCAGGTGGGAGAAGAGCCCCTGCCTTCATCCCAAATCAGCTCTAAAATCCCAGTTTTAAAGCTGTGTCAGCTCCTCAGGGATGAGGGCAAGCAGGGAATCCCTCCCACTGGCTGGAGGACAGCTACATCTCAGGAGTAACAGTGCCTCAGAGCTCTCACCCCACGGCCAGGTCCACTGGAGGAGCGGTACTGTCCCCATATCCTGCTGCAACACTTCCCACGGGGAAGCCTGCAGCCATCCCCTTGCATCAGCTGTAAGGAACATACAGCCGAGCCAGTGCAGGGAGCCTGGGCAGCGTCTGCCTGCTCCTCCCACTCTTCCAGCCTCCCCTCTTCCCAGACCCAGGCACCAACCAGGAGGAAACATCCCCCAAGGCAGCCGCTCAGTATGAAGCCCCATGACGATGAAACAAATCACTCGCATGATCCCCAACCGTAAGGTAGAGAGGAGGATGGAGAGCTGGTCTGTGCCATGCAGTGCATTGGACAAGGGCAGTGACACACTGAGGGTGAGCTCATCCGTCAGAAACGCAGGGCTGGCCTCGTGGCGGGTGCAGATGTGGCGCAGAGATCCCAGGAGCCAGTGGGAAATATGCCCCAGCCAGGCTGTTGGGTCCACAGGGCCAGTCCTGCTGCTGGTCCTTTGTGGCTCAGCCAGGCTGGGGCCTGCTCTCTGGGTCTGGACGGCTGTGGTGCCTCAGCTCACCCTCCTCTTCCTCTCTGCAGCAGAGACTGTCTGTTTGTCTATCTGTGGTTTCAGCCTTCAGCAAGGACTCCAGAGGGACATCAGCAGGTGGCCGCAGCCCTGGGTGGCTGCGGGAGGCTGGTGTTTAGGCGTCCTGGACGGGTGGCAGGCGTTTGCTGTCCAGAATGGCCTTCCAGTCGTCGGTCCAGGACTGCAGCCTGCGGCTCGGGGGCTTCAGCTGCAGGTGCTTGTTGTGGCAGGCCGTGAAGAGCACGTGCTCCCAGCTGGGGTTCAGCTCGGCTCCTGCAAAGCAAGGAGAGAGGTCGGCTCTCTGGACAACTCCTCCATGAGACATAGAGGCTGAGCTTACTCCAACATGAGGAACCTGTGGACACAACCCTAGGAGAGCCAGGGAGACACCAGCACCCATCACCCCCAGATGCTGTTTGCCCTTCGGGGCTGCCTCTGGTCACTCCTGCCACCCCACACCTCCCTTACCTATTATATCAGGCCTGTCATCTATAAGCAGGTCAGCAGAAACCACCGTCTTATCCCGTGTCAAAACGATCTGCTCGAGGAACTCGGGGCCAAAGTGCTTCTCCACCCAGGCGTACTGGAAGGCGAGAGGTGAGCGGTGAGCACAGGGAAGGCTGATGGATAGGGCACGGGCTGCTCGACGACGCGGCAGCAGCGCACAGCACGAGCCCTGGTCCCTCTCTTTATAAGTTCATTAGTGGGAAGGATTCGGATGCTGCTGGAGCACAAGTTCTTTTCAATCCAAGCAGCTTTTGATGTCGTGATGAAATACTAAGACCAAGCGCCTCAGTGCATGCGAATGGCAGAGCTTGGCCAACAGCAGAGCTGCTGCTCTGCGAAGAAGCTTAGGGACAAAACTGGTGGAGCAAGGAACTATCGCTGCTGTTTTACAGACAGACAGACAGAGGCATGTGGGGTCAGCTGGCTTTCGCTGGGCAGTGCGGTACGGGAGGGGGAGCTGGGATTCGGGCCTGCTCACCTTCTCATAAGGGCAGTAGCGGTACTTCTTGATGGGGCTTGTGCAAATGAACACATCGGTGCTGCCATGAGGAGAAAAATAGGGGCAGAGTGTCAGTCGGTGGCCAAACACGCCGATTGGACCCTTCTGCCCCTTGATATACACTGGGCTGCCTCTGCAAGACCCCCTCCATGCCTGAGCAGGCAGGTGCCCAAAGCAGACCCCCTGCCACACACAGATCAAACCGGGCAGATTCAAGGCGTTAATCCCCCATCTCGCAGGATCCCACCCCCAGGATATGTACCCACACCCACGGCACAAGCCTGTTCTCCTTTTCACCACCCTTGTGGGAGAAAAGAGCTGAAGAAAAGGGACTGCACATAGCCAGTTTTCTTGGTGGCTGCTCCAGGACTCAAAGCCCTCTCTTTTTTTCCATGCCCAGCAGGCCAGGAGGTATTTTTAATGCTGATGTTATATTCAGTGCTTCTGCCAACAGGCAGATAAGCCTGCAAAACCACTGCTGCTCCCTTGTCCATCCCCAAATACCATGGGCAGGTTCCTACTCACTCTGCCAAATTTGCCATTTGCTTCACAGCTTCCACAGCCCCGGGGAGCGGGTCCAGTTCAATGAAGAAGTTCTTGGATTCCCAGATGCTGATGGCTTTCTCCTGTGAGGGGAAAGAGAGCGGTTACTGCACAGGGCTTCTTGCTACTCTTCTCCTTAGATGTGCATCTTCCCCACCCTCTGCTAGAACAGAGAATAGTGACTGAGAAAGGTGGAAGCGCTGGCTCCAGTCCCCTCCTGCTAGCCCACTTGCCTCTGTGGGTGCTTCTGTTTCCCACCCACTGATCCGCACTCATCCCATACAATTCAGATCGGCAATGGCTGGATCAGGCTTGGTTTTCCCTGTGCAGCCCCAGACACAGAAGGAGCAGCATGTTCCTTCAAGGCAAAACACAAGAAATTGTCTAGAACTGAACTAAACCCCGGGTCTGCATCCAGAGAGGCACTTCCACATGGATCTGGCTGACATGGCTTGGTAGCCCTGCTGTAACGTGATGCTGTTCAGCTCCAGATGCTGTCTGGCCTATTTGTCTCAATGAGATCACTTAAAATAGCAGCTGGGCTGCTCTCAAAGGAGAAAGTATATTACAGGATGAAATGCATGTCAGGATGAGTGCAGATGGTCTTCCTCAGGGATGCCCGGGCAAGGTCTACCAGGCAAATGCAGCACCTCCGGGCAAGGGTTTGAAACAACATCCAGGTTGGCAGCCGGGGTGCACTAGTATGGTGCAAAGGGAGAGCAGCAGAGAGAGACCACGGGGAGCAAAACCTCGGGATGAAGGCAGAGTCCAGGGGCTGCCTGCGATGGGTCCAGCACACCTCTAAGGAACAGCATCCCCTGCGCTCCTTCAAACAGGTAACAGCTTATCAGCTGCCAAGCAAAGCAATTATTTTGCATGGACACTGGGTCCTCGGGGAGGAGAGCCTGGGAGCACTGTGACGCAGCTGCAGGCAGAGGAAGCAGCCCTGTCCCAGCATTGTAGCTGCAGATGGGAGAAATTTTGAAGGGATCCCTGCCCTGAAGGACTGATCTTCATTTTGAGCACCTCTGTTTCTGTATTTGAGGTAAGGGAACAGGGACAAAAGGAACTTTAAGCCCATTCTGGCCTTGTATTGCAAGGGTATGGAGAAGTCGGCAGGGCACAGGGTAGGAGAGAGCAACCTCAGTGATGCCTGTGTGCTGGTTCTTACAGCTCATAGTAACAAATAGGCTGGTTGGATATGCCAGCAAGACTTGTAGCTCCCTCCTGCTTGGTGAGCCGGAATCTAGTGGGTAACCACCACATTCGCCTTTATTACACCTGTACTGGGGCTTTCCTGGGAACTCCAGGCTCAGGGCAGCAATGCCCCAGGGCAAACAGGGCTCACTGGGGGAGTCATGTTCTGCTTCATCCCAACCGGTTGCCTGTGTCAAGATGCTGGCTGCACACCTTGCCTGCTCTCAGGAAGATGAATGCATGAACCCATTACATATTTGGGCACTGAGCATTTAACATGACATGCCAGAATCTAACCCTGTATTTCTCAAAAAATCCCAGATAACATGAGAAGACCAGACACCCAACTTAAAAGGAGAGACTACAAAGTTCAACTATTGCACTCTAACTTTTTGCCTGAGCAGCAGAAAACATTGGTGGTTCAGAAGAAGGAGGAAAAGCCTTCTTCCTACATATTCAAAATGAAACATGCTGATCTGGTGCAAGAGAGCAGAAATGCCTCCTGGCACCATGAGAAGGACAGCTACCCTAACAGTTCACCACAGGGCCAAGCAAACATTCAAACTCCAGTTGCTCTGCTACAGACCACTGAGCAGCAATGTTTTATTTTTAAGATACCGACTATAGTTGCACAAGAGACATCTGAGAAACGTGGCGTGATGTAGAAATGCACTTCAAACTGAGCTGAAGTGTTTTCTTACAGCAAGGACTTCCGTAGCTATTCTACTTCCACTTATGTTCAAAAGCATTTTGCAATCAAGCTCGATGGGGGAAGAACTAAGCTCATCTTGAAGAAAAGACCTGCTTGGCTCCCAGAGCCAGAATAACTCCCTGTGGAACCACAGCCAGCATGCTGCCCCGCAGATTGAAAAAATCCCCCAGGCTGGGAATCCCACCATGTGCCAGACAGGACAGACCCTCAATCTCCTTCTTCTTATGCCTCCCCATGAGCAATTTCCCTGTCTGTCCAGTCCAGGGCTCCCCATCCTTCCACATCTATGTGCTCGGTGTATTGCTGAGCTGTTGTTCTCCCTCTCAGAGCTGGGACCGTCAGCTCACTGTCCTCTTTGGCTCTTATTTTCTGGCCTCCTACAGCAGGTTGATGGTGATCTCTGACGAGGGGGCACTGGAACAGCCCATGTGCCCATAGTCAGAGCAGCTCCTACTCTTTATCCCTGGGCAAAAACCACGGGTGAAATCAGTACTGCCCTGAGGTTGGTCTGTGGAAGTTTTGCTATTTGTTCAGCCCAAGACTTTGGTGGTTTTACGTGATCACAGCACACGCAAGATGAGCTAACTTCATTTAACACATCCAAAGCAGTTAAGATCAAGCAAAAAAATGAGTTATCATGCATTACCACTGCCAAACTTTTAACATCTGCCTTACTGCATGAATGATGCCCTCCATTTCCCTTTCAGCAATCCCAGCTAGAGAGGACATATTATTCCTTCAGCTCATTTACAACTTTGCTGGTGGGAGAGCCTCGGACCTTATTCACCTTCCCTTCCCTGTAGCCATCGTACTACTAACAACATGAGTACTTTTATTTGCTGTAACGCCTTTCAACTAGTGCAACTGCAATCCGCAGATGAGACCACAGACATCCCACAAAGATGGGAAACTTATAGAGGCAGAAACCGATTTTCTGCAGCCCTTCATTGAATGATAAAGTACAACATAAAGAAAGCTTCTGCTTTTAGGCTTTAATTATTAAAATGAATTTGGCAGTTTTCAGGCATAGGAGGGCTTGGGGTTGTTTTAAGTAAGCCCTCACATGATGCATCAATTGTATGATTTGCTCTCAACTTCTCTGCTGCGTCCCACCCCTCACATTGCTGTTGATGAAGGAAATAATCCATCTAGGAACAGTATCCATGCAACTTGGCCAAATCAGAGCTAGAAAACCCCAGCTATGCAATCTGGGGTATTTTAAAACAGATGTTCTGAAAGATCTCCTTTCCTTGCATTTAGCTCCATCCACGCATGCAGGAAAAAAAAAAAAAAAAAAGAAAAAAGAGATAAATGTGCATGAAAAATGCTGCATTTCTGGGGAAAAAAGGGCACTGCTGGAAGCCCTCCTGCGTGCAGACCTGTACCTGTGTTTTGGTGGGAGCTCCGGCCAGCACCCGTAGCCCTCCCCAGCGCTGCACCCACGAGCTGGGGGCCAGTGGGTCCCGTGGGGCCGGAGCTCCAGCTTCACGAGCGAAGCAGAACGCGCAGAGCCGGGGGATGCATAGACTCACACTCAGCTCAGGTCCCAGGCGCCCGTATTGCTCCGACACCCAGAAGCCCCTCCGGTCCTCCAGGGCAATGTAGGGTTTGTCGGGGTACCTGGCCCTGAACTTCTTGAGGAAGCCTCCCTCGAAGTCAGCCAGCACCCCGTCCATGTCCACCAGCACCCGCAGAGCCCTGCGGGACCCCGCTGCGGGGCCGACCCCCCTGCCCAGCCCTGCGAGGGGGCCGCAGCGCCGAGGCCGAAAGTGCAAGAAGCTGCT